ACATTTTCTTGATAGCACCTTTTTCTAATCATATTTTTTTTCTCAGTAAAGCCAAAAATGAAAATAGACACAAGAACTGCCCAAAAGGTAGGAAGTGGAAAGAATGAGATGCAAACCCATAGACCATTGCAGGAATTAAATCACGACCAGAGTTTGCAACAATGGGATCAAAACATTCCTGTCAAAAAGGAAGGACAAATAACTTGAGCAGACAATTAACTGTCACTTACAAGTACAATTGAACTAGCCATAATATCTAAAGGATAATCAACAAATCTAAAGGCAGCTGTATATACATGGGCATATTCAGAAAAGTCACATAGTTTGGCTTGATTGCAAGGAAGAGTCTCTGTGAACCTTGAGGTCCTTGGTTCAAATATCATTATGAGTGGGTTTAACCAAGCTTTATTTTGATGAGTATTCCAAATTGTAACTTCTCGTATAGTTGTTAACTTGTAACTTCAAAAAAAAAAGACTTATGAATGTGTAATCAGATTCAGTTCCAACATAAATTTAGTTTTAATTTCTAACTTAACCTCAGCTGTAATTTTAGCAATTCATATGGGTGGCCTTTAATAAGTTTGATTTGAGAAGTACAATTTTTCCTCTATTAAACTAGGTCCAAATACAATTTACCAGCCATAAATAATACGTGCAAAAAAATTAAAAATATAATTGATCTTATCATATATGATTGGCAACTTTTTTTGTATCCCAACCTAGTTATGATTGTATGCTTAAGAACTTTAATTGCTTTTAACTAAAACTATATGCTGAGGCGTGGATGAGAAGTATTGTTACTTTGATTATGTTTTAGGTTACATGAAGGTAATTATTTCTAGGGAAAGAATATTTTATTTTTAGGAAAAGAAAGTATTATTACTATTATTTTAAAGGAGATCAATTTTGTTTGGGAAGTATTAAAGATTCTAATTATGAGTATTTCGTGCTTTATAGAAGTCTTTTTTTGGTAGTATTACTTGATTAATAAGTCTTTCAAATGAACTATGTAACCTCTATTTACGGGGATAAGTGAGAATGGAATAAAAAAATAAGTTAGAATTTTTATCAAAACCGTAAAAGATCATAGTCTCTCTTTTAATGAGTCCTAAGGTTTCAGCCCCCCTTTGATGAGCTGAGAGGTTTCAGTTTCCCTTCGACAAGCTGAATCATCAATTTGAAACACAAGTTTGTATGAATCATAACATAAACACAAAAAGAATTAATTCTGAAAATGTGTCTTAAGGCTCTGAGCACATCTGAATTCACTCCAACAAGTTTTTTAAACATGTTGTTCCAAAGCCATAATTACTCATGACACCGAGCTAGGTTCAAAATTTAAATTTGAAAAAGCTTGGTTAACATTTATTGTACACAACAAGCTCCCATTTCAGGACTAAAAAGTTTGTTAAAAGGTAAAATATATTTAAAAAAAAAGTTAGGTGGAAAGGTAGTACAATATTACGACCCAACAAGCAACTAGGATAATATATTGAATGCTAATATGTTTCATCTCAGCAAAAACTTACTTGAAATATGGAAGAAGCCCTCGAAAGTAATGGCAAGTCTTCGGGATAATGGCTCTTTCCACTTAGTATTCGCCATTGAACACAATCTCTGGCTTCATCAATTAAAAATCCTTTTCCTAAATGCTTTCTTTTGATTATATTAGAAAATGAAGCAGGAATTATCTGCACCCCACTGGAAACAGAATTCTGGAGAGCCCCATGAATCCTTTTACAGTCATCACAACAGAACCATTTATCCTTGGGAATTTCCTGTTGTGTGGAGGAAAAACAAATTGGTAAATGCATCAACTAGTGTGTGTGTGTATTAATTAAAAATGAAACTGCAAGTGCAATTCAGACTTACTTTCAAATCACATTTTCCACTATCACGCAGGCATCCAACATGGAACTCCTTCTCACACTGAGACAGGACAAAAGAAAATGATGACGCTATACCAAAGAAAATACTTGCTAGGATAGAAATAGGATGAGTAAACTGCACATACTTGGTCACAAAGAATAATTGTCCGATCATCAAAGGTAGTGGAACTAAAGTCGTACTCCCTATAAAAACAATTAAGAGTTAGCCTTGTCTCATAACACAAATATCAATAAGGGATAAGACTAAAAGCAGTAAACATGTAAGAAATGCACAAATAAATGGGGAACAAAAAGTTCAAAAAAGAAACTATTGAGAGATCATTGACTCTTAAAACACCTCTCTATCAACAATCCACTAGTTTCAACTCCAAAATGCCTATGAGTGGACTGTAAACAAACATGTGTGTGTAACACTCATACATATGAATCCATTGGAGGATTAGTCACACAATGAAGCTCATATTCTAAGAATATAGATATGCTTAGAGACAGAATACCAGAATGATAGGAAAAAATACAGAGGTACCCAACCTGCAAACAGCACAACCACCAATTTCAAATTCTGGTGCTTTAACAACTCTTGTCAGTCGTATCACAATTGGCCTCACTATCCTTGAAGCTTCTCCTGAGACATCTTCCTACCAAGACCCTTTTTATCAGCACAATTTGCACAATGCCAGTCATCTTCAGGAAGGTGCTCTATTTTCAAACAAGCTGCAAGAAAGAAATTCGATGGAATAAATGATGAAAGAGAACCTTAGACCAAAAAGATAATCAGGCACAAGATAAATTGAATATATTTCACAACTTAGACATAAAATGACAAAAATTTAAGCATACATGTGCCTCCACCGTTTGTGTTTGAAAACAATTTGGAGGAGCCAATCATGATAATCATTAGGCATGAAAGCACAAAACGGGTTAGAGCTTTAAATGCAGATCCCAATGCAGTATATTGTAAATGAATATATCTCATGAAGTATCGTTGGATATTGGCCGCCCAATGTTAAATATTTCAAAATGCCATTTTTAAACTAAGTACCAATCTCAACAAAAACCTAAACTAAGAAGAAACAGCTCAAAATAAAAAGAAACTTACGCACCAGTATGAAAAGCCAGATGACATTCACGACAAAGAAGAAGATCTCCAGAATTTCCACAAATTGCACAAATATCATTACTGCAACCAGTTGTAATGCGTTGTCCATTTGCCAATGACAAGGCTATGTCATGAAGCGTCAGTCCATTAGATGTATAGATGTTATGATACCTGTGTAAAAATGGAAAAGTAAAAAGATAAAAAATGAATGAACCCAACATTCTAACGAAAATATCAAATTCTCTAAAGACCACTTACGGTCGCCTTCTGTCAGCCAATCCTGCATGTGCTTCAAACTGTGAAGGGCTAAGCTGCTCACACGAAAACAAATTAAACAAAAATATTAGATGAGAGAGCTTATCTTGCATCTTGATAATGAATTAGAAACTTACCTCTCTCTCACAACATTCACAGACTATACCGTTCCCCTGTTTGTAGCCTTCAAGGTACTTCCGGTTAAAAGTCTGTTAGACTTTCAGTCAATACTCGGCATAAAATTATTGCTAATCAACCATATTATTTTCTATAAACCATTGCACCTGTCCTTTGATAAAATACGCCAATTCAGCCCCATCTGGAAGTCCATTTGGCATAAAAAGTGACCGATGAAAGTCGTTACCCCTGCAAACAATTTAAAGAAATTTCAACTTAATTCATGTTTATCTAAATTTTACATGGAGAGAAAGAACAATATATGCCCCATAGCATACCTTCTCTTCACGCCACCATCAACAGTTCTCTTTCGTTGCATGACTGAGGTACGCCTACAATAAGGTAAAATGTTAGTGAGCTATGGAAAAGAAAATGAACAAAACAAGCCATCTTATAAGGAATGTAGAAACTCAGATAAAATCCCTCTTCAAGAATTATCAATAATCATGCAATCTTGTAAATTAATTAAAAAAAATCCATCCAACAATGCTTATGAGAACTAAATTGAAATGGCAAACATGACACTCAAATGCTAGATTCAATTCCCTTTGGACCCATTAAAAAACAATAGGGTAGAATCCTTATCCAGTTTAAACACCAAGAAAATGAATTCAGTGAAATCTGACCATATGAAAGGGATACATAAGATTTATTTATTTTTAAAAAAAAAATGTGAAACACTGAAATCTCTAGAAAAAGAAGTCGCCAAAAATGTATATTAGTTTACCTTACAAAATTAGGCAAACTAGGTGGTTTGATGTTATGTTTCTTCTCTGCTTCTACCTTTCTGTAACTCTGCTGAAGACTAGCTGCAGAACATAATCGCATGTCAAAACTTGAACAATAGCAGAAATAAAATGAAGCTCTTCACTGACAGATATGAAAATAAATCTCTTAAAGAAGGTTGACAATATCTATACTGATAGGCATGATAGATTTAATCTCAAACACTTCAAATTTATCTCGACTTCCAACACAATGAGAAGGCAGAAAAAAGGGAAAAGGTTATCAAGGATTCTTATAGCATAACTACACAAGATAGGGCAGAAGAGTCTGCGCTGTTTCTTCTACCCGTGCATGCGTTTCTTGAGTGGTCCACTTACCTTATATACTTAAACTTTACACATGCCAACCAGATCTGACGGAAGTTACCTCGAATGCAATTGCTACCGTCCGATAGAATCTATATCAATTCACTTTTTCCCATTTGGAGTTAATTTCCATTATTACACTGCTGTAAATTTCCATGTTAAAATTTACAAGCATTGGATGTATCGCATAAGCTACTATGTACACGTAGCAAACAACCTAATCCTAGATATTTCACATTACAGTCGTATTTGGTCTATTTCCTTAACTAGACTTGAAAGCTTGAGACCCTAAATAGAATTGCCAATAAAAGGGAGGTAAATTCAACTAAAATGACAGTTCTCTAATTGAATTATCATCTATTTGTTTCTTTTACTTTTGGAAATTACATGAAATGAAACTAGAACAAACTCAAATAATAATAATAAATAAATAAACAACCGGGTGAGATAGAATTATACCTAACCAAGATAAACCAATCAAACATAAATTATTACAAAATGCTGAGTTGAGCAGTCTTTAGTTATTGAACAAGATAATATTTAGCCTTCTATTCTCCAAGATATGTGATTATTTGGATGCCTGGTTTTGGCACCAGCATACTGCTCATACTCATAGACACTCAGCACCTACTCGCACACCACACAACCATTCAGAGAATATTAATGCACCTGAAAACTAAGCACTGACAGGACAAACAACAATAGTAATTAGAACAGTTGAGTGACTTACTTGGGATAAATTACGAAATGAGCATCCACACATATATCCACCAGAATGAACAATTCCATCCAGTACTATCTAATAGGCATGACCAAATAATGATAATAACTTCCATAAACAAGTCAACACTTAACTATAACATAATTAACATTGATTTAGTTGGGGGGAAAAAAGAAAGTTTACCCCTCATCGGGACAAAAATATACTTCAGTCTGGCTCTATCAAGAATGTTATTTATTGAAGCTCGCTTCACTTCAGGCTTTGTACTATTTACATTCTTCATAATCTCCTCAGTTGAAATTCCTATAAAAAGTGATGCATCCTACATCAAAAGCAATTAATTTCCAAACTTCAGAAAATGAAAAGCGTTCATAATTGGAAATCCAAAGAAAGAAAGAAACCCAATATGTTCGCTATTCTTTAATATAATGAAACTTGAATCAAATGCATACCAGAAACTTTAATGTGCGTCTCCAAAACAATGTTGAACTGGCATTCTTCATAGTATGCTAAATTTGAACGTGTGCCTCCAATCCAAGTAATAAAATATAGAAAAAGAAATCAAATACCCACTTAACACCGGTCAAAGTTGAAAAATAACTTCGATAATGGAAAATGTAACAGAATACGCTACCTATGTAAACCCTAGGAAATCAAAGAATAGAGCATGCACGAGTACTGAAAACAACCATATTTCAAACCTCAATGATATGGAATTTGTTTTAAAAAATCGTTCCGGTCTGGGTTAGGCTTGGAGCGCGGCAAACCAACCCATAAGAGCAAAATGCCTAATTGGCAACTTCTTTTTTCAAGGTGGGAGAGGGAAAACGGTGTGTCTGGACGTCCTGGAGTGAGTAATTACACGAATTCTACTTTATTGGAAAAAAAAAGGTTAAAATAATTCTTATTTATTGTTAAAATATGAGTTAATTGCATCACAATCCTTAAATTATCACCCTCATTCTAAATTAGCCATGAACTTTTAAACATTCCAATTTCATCCCTAATTTATGACCATCATTTTATATTAGTCCCTAAACTTTTGAAAAAATATTTTTTATCCCCAAACCATAATCTTCATTCTAAATTGGTCCTCAAACTTTTTGAACATTTCAATTTCATCCCAAATTATATGTATATACTAATCACATCCCTTGTTATAAAATCGTTAGGCCAAGTTATATTATTATATGTTTGAAAAAACAAAATTTAGATTAAATTATGGTTGAAACTGATCATATTTGAATGAATTTGGGGATGATATTAGAAAATTCAAAAGTTTGGGGACATATAATGTAATTAACTCTTAAAAATTACAAGGAAACTTATTTTAATCTTTTATCTCATGTTTAATAAGATAAATCATAATTATTATTTTTTATAACCATCGATATCCGATTTATTATCGAATAATCTGGATCGAGTACTATAAAGTCCCAATATGGAGTTCCTCCTAATCTAGTTTCCTCCATCGCAAAAGTCAAGATTCAAATTTTTTATCTTACCTAAGAAATCTAGTGTCTCATCCCACTAGAGTAACTAATTGTTAAAAGAATATTAATTATTATAAAGTTTATATATCTCACATAATTTATCAAATTCTGAATTTCTTTATAAAATTCATCTAAATTATATATATATATTCAATTATATTCCAATAAATTAAAGAGTAATTTTCAAATATTTTATAAAGGTTTAATTTAAAAGTGACAAAATTATTATTTAAGTATTTAATTTTTTTATTGAAGTATATATTTAACGTTTTTAAAGTTACTATTTAAGGTGTTTAGCCGATCGTTAAAAAAGTTATTATTCAATGACACGTAGCATGTTGTTTTAATTTATTTTTTAAAAATAAAACTTTAAAATCATTAATTTTTTTAAAAACCCTATTAAAATCTTAAATTAACCAAATTTTTTTCAAATTCTCTAAATTCCTAAGTTCAAATCTTTAAACCCCATATGTTCACTTAATCAATTGTTATTGGTCTCTCATTGGTTGATTGATCCCTTACTGTCACATGTTGTCCTTAAATCTTATCGTATAAAATCATTTTTTCACCGAACTATAATATGTGCATCGTCGTTAGTGAAACTACATCGTCGTCTCAATCAAAAATGAGTTGCTTGAACCTTTAATCTCACTCGTCGTCTGATCTTTTACTATAAGAGGATTTAGAGATCAGAGGTTTGAGAAATTATATAATATAGAATTTGTTTATAAATTTTGGAAATTGATATTTTTATTTTTAGAAAATTAATGTCATTTTACGGATATTTTAACTATCATTGATGGTATAACCTTAAAATGATTATGGAATTAAACGTTAAACACCTTAAATGGTAATTTTGAAAATGTTAAGGAACTAATTTAATAAAAAATTAAGCACCTAAAATAAACAAGATATATAATTTAAGCAATTATTTTTAATTAAGCATTTTATTAGTATCACTCTCAATTCAAAAATTCAATATATGAATTGATGTCATTTAATTCATTTTTTCTAAATTGTATTGATTTATCTTAAAGATTTAATTTCAATTAGAATTCAATTATTCAATAAGTACGAAGGCCTCGTTAAGTAATTAAATGATTAAAGTGTCAACTCGTAATTGACGAATTCGTCGGTTTTTTTCTGATTGAATGCACATTAATGGGACCTCCAATAAATATATTGAAATTAGCTCTTTATCAATAGAATCTTATCTTATGTACATATCTTATATACATAATGAATAGGTGTAGTATATTCATATCATACGATAAGAAAAGAAGAGTGGCATGGGTAAACTAGTTATTTAGTCACTTACATGTTCATGTATTTATGGGTAAACTCACTTAGATGTTCAAGTATTTCTGTTTTGATCACTCAACTATTTTTTAAATCATAATTAATGTTATGTTTATTTTTCTTATGATCACTCAAAGTTTAGTTTGACCATTAACAAAAATGGTAATGTGACTGGTATAATAACAATTTTAATCCCCAAAACTTGCACATTCTATAAACCGATCCTAATTAGAAATAATTTGATAAATTCTCAGTATTTAAAAATAGAATAAAGTACACAAATAGTCACTAATGTTTGAGGTAGTTTTGTTTTCCCCACTAAAGTTATAAAAGTTACAAATTGGTCACTAATGTTATCAATTTATAACAAAATGGTCACTCTACCGTCATCCCAATTAAATTGATGATGTGGCAACTTTAACAAAAGGTAATATTTAGCTTTACTCCTAAACTATTGCTAAAACATCAAATATTTCCTTAAACAATGATTTTATATCTAATTTACTCCAAAAACTTTCTAATTTTTATTTTTTTAAATATTCACCATCACCACCACCATATTCTCCCCTCCCACCTCATCAGCTCTCATAGAATATATATAGTAGCAAAAAATTTTGTTGCTTCCTTTCGCATAAACTCTATCTAAGTTGATCTGTGTAAGCATTGTACTTTAGGAAAAAATAAGAATGTTTTCCCAGAGAAATGCAAAGAGGATGGGTGCAGACAGACATATTCAAAACAAGTATTTCACCATTCCTTTGCCCCTTTGCTGCATCCATAACGATAACAAATTTTAGCACTTCTCTGAACTTGTTAAAATGTCGAGAGAGACTATCCTTGGTAGCAACAAAATGGACCCGCTTATGTAACAGAACCATATATTGTAAAAATACTGTAAGGGAGACATCCTCTTTGTAAACTAGGCAAATAAGTTTGAGTTCTTACATTACTTACATAATCATATAATGCTAAGAATGTAAGAAAAAAGTGAACAGAATAGAATGAGATACTTCGTAGTTTGTACAGAATTTTAAAGAAGGATTTAATAAAAAAAAAGTCACAAGCACAATAGAACTCCATGTCTGAAACATGCAACAGTCAAACCATTCTGTGGTGGGACACAAAAAGAAGAAAAGCTTGAAATCTTGTACCACACAGTCCATGAAAGGTGAAGAAGAAAGCCTTATAGGTGGAAAAAGGAAAAGGATGATGAATACTAGCCATTTTCATAGTTCGAATATAGTCGATACGAAGTCATTTTATTCTTCTTCGAGCTCGGATTTCATAACACCACCTCCTTAATTATGCAACCACACCTACAAAAACTACAAAGGTAGTGATCTCTTGAATGAAAAAAAGAATGAGAAGTCAAAGTTCATTGCTAGGGTTTTAGAAAAATATAAGAATCTCGATACCCATCATTGGGATATGAATAGCATGAACGTTAGGGTTGATCGGTATGAATCAGAAGAGAAGGGTTTCCGAAAGTTTGTTGAGATCGATAATGGTGCATTAGTAATTTGAGCTACGATCTTTTTGAGTTGAAAAGATGTGATTTAGACAACTATTTCAGTGGTTTGTCTGTGTTTGAAACTACGACCATGGATAGCTTCAAGAGGGGAACACCGATTTTCAATAGTGTCCTTTGAGTTCATTTTGTTTCTCATCGCCATTGAAGAATGTGATAACTTTATATATATATAATATTCTTCTCGCTATATATCTATAGTTTGGAATGTTTGTTTGTCTTTCCCTTTTCCAGTTTTTGAAATGGACTAAATCTAAATTTGTCAAGTTTTTGAATGCAAGAAAATTTGTTGCTATAGTAGATAAGAGCTGATGAAGTAGGAGAGGCTGGGAGGGAAGAATAGGTGGGGTGATGGTGTGGTGTTTGAAAAAAAATTGAAATTAGGAAAATTTTGGGGGTAAACTAGATATAAAATTATTGTTTAAGGACCTATTTGATGTTTTAGCATTAGTTTAGAATAAAACTAAATATTGACCGTTTTATTAACGTTGAAACATCATTATAGTGACTATTTTGTTATAAATCGATAATGTTAGTGACTAATTTGTAACTTTTGAAACTTCAGTTGGAAAAACAAAAACTAATTCAAACATTAGTGATCATTTATATAGTTTACCCTTAAAAATATTATCAGTTTGGTCTAACATAAAATCTCTAAATATCTCTCTCAAATCACGATCTTCCCTAACACCCATCCCCCAATATCATCCCCGTCAATTTACTTAATCATCATCATATCTTTTCCCGTCGATCGTCCATGCAATGAAGTTGTCATTCTTAAAGACTTACGATCACCTTGTATGTTTCATATAGGAGATGAGAATGAAATTAAATTAAATGATGAAGTACAAATTGATAAAAGCACATTTGCAAGCTAAGGGTGTTTCACCAAATTTATTTACCCAACTTGAATCTTACAAATCAAATGGTGGAGTAGAATTTAAAAAAAAAAACATGATACAACGACAAATGCGTCAATGGAAATGAAATCATGATCGTATCATGGACCATAACTAACGATTAATCCTGTAAAAATTGTGAGCTTGTAGCATGCTATAATTTATTACTTTCAATCCAAAGATAGCATAATAAGTATATTTCTTTAAAAAAATCAATTTCATTTTCTCACCACATATCTTTGTTTTTTTAATAAGATTTCATAGGCATCCGTCACATAATTCCCATTTTGTTCCAATTTTATTTCTTCGCCAATTGAGTCATATCACAAAATTTTTTAGATGAATCAAAGCGAAATATGGGCCACAAACTATAACAATCTACACCTTGATACGAATTCTATAAGTACAAGGCAAGATAATAAAATCTCAACCTTTATGACAACATGTTCTTTACCTTTTCCACCAAACTCCTTGGATATTAATCAACAACAAACACCAACCAAGTTCAAACAATGCTCAAACCTAGTTATAACTTATAAAAAGTGATGTAGTCATCATATACACAAGATAATTATTAGTATTAAATTTTCTCACAATGAGAAATAATATCGAACATCAATGTGTTTCATTCTCTC